AATAAACAAGGTTACGGCGGACAAGATGAGGCTGAGATTTAGTTGGCATCTCGGACAGCACAGGCAGAGCAATGAGAAAGGAGGTGTAATGTCAGAAAAGGAGGAAGCAGCTCTCATTGGGGATGAGCACTTTATAGTATAGCAAAACACGCTGTACTTTTACATACAGATAGAGTTTTTACAGGGCTGTGCTCTCACTAAGTTCAGAGGAGAGTTGTTTTCTTTGGGATGGAAAGAAAGAGAACAAGTTTGTTTTCTCTCCTTCCATATGTACTAATCTATAAGGGCCCGGGCATTAAGTTAAATATGTAATTAGCATTAATAAATAAACTTCCTGGCTTAAATAAAACTGATGACTTTGGTCACATTTCTTATCAAAGACATTAAACGTTAATTATTCAAGCGCATTACTTCACTTCAGTTTTAAATGCTACTCATTTGGACAACTTCATGAAACTTGCAAGATTTAAAAGCATGAAATATGCATGGTCAAGCCATCACTCTCTTCATAATGAATAAGCATACCTTGGAATTGACACATTTGCTCTCAGAAAGGACCTCTAAGACCGACAGCCACATATATATGCAGCCTTCAGTTGACTAAGCACTGCATGTCATCCCACTGTTTGCTCCGTCAAAGTCAGCAGAAGCTTGCAGGTAAGTTTGGGCCAGACAGGAAGGAAATTCATTGAGGGACATTAATTGTTTATACTGGTCCCAGTTCAAACACGGGTCAACTCATCATTGTCTCAGAACGAGCTCATGTATATGCCCTCCGCTAATTTGTCTTGACAGATAGCTTCTTTTCTTTGCTGAGATGTAATTCAGTCTCTTTAAGTCTTAAAGTTGACGAATTGCATGAATAACCACAATTAAGAAAACACAATAAAAGTCTCAGCAGGGCACCCAAGCAGCTGCAGAGCACTTACAGCTACATTGCATAACAGTAGGTTTAAATACATCAGTCACTTCAGATGAGCTGCAGCACTAAGGCTTGAATTTTGGTCAGATTGTGTTGATCTGTGACTCACACCCTGATGATATACATTGAACACAACACTACCTCTCAGTGACCTCTGTGGCTGCAGTCATTATCAATCTGCAGAACCCCCCCCCCCACCACCACCACCTTCAGGATAAGTATTCATCATTTAAAGGTGAACATTTACAACAGCTTTCTGTTTATTGATGTCAGACTGTGGCTGCAGGCCCACAGGGTCAAGGGGATTTAAAGCATCTCAGGAAAATGCACCTTGATTACTTATCAGCCCTCAGTGTGCAGAACGTGACAATCTCCCCAGGAACAGGTGGGAGCTTATCTGACTCTGCTGATTGTTCTCCGGTCAGGAAACATACAGAGAGAGAGAGAGAGGTACAGGTACAGGTAGAAGACAAGACTGGTTCAACTCTCACACTCTCACATGCTCAATACGTAAGTACAGGTGGCAGCCCATTGATAAAGCATAAAGCTATGAAACTCTTTAAATGAAGAAAGTATGACACCTAATGAAGATGGGTGTTGATGGGTTGTTGTGGCCGAGTGGTTAAGGCGATGGACTAGAAATCCATTGGGGTCTCCCCTCACAGGTTCGAATCCTGTCAACAACGAGTGGTGGCTCACTCTCTGTGCTTTAACTTGGTTCCCTCTCTACAACTTTGTCACGCTTCCTCCACTGCCGTCAACACTTACTCACTTGGCCGACCGATGTGCAACAACCGTGCGATGGTGGTATAGTGGTGAGCATAGCTGCCTTCCAAGCAGTTGACCCAGGTTCGATTCCCGGCCATCGCAGCTTGTTCTTTATAACTACTTCCCTCCCAGACCTTTTCACCTCATCGAGATGGGTAAATGTTTGATAATGTAGATCAACACGACGAAGAAGGTTTGTGTGGAGTTGTTGTGGCCGAGTGGTTAAGGCGATGGACTTGAAATCCATTGGGGTCTCCCCTCACAGGTTCGAATCCTGTCAACAACGACGCTGACAGCTGTGATGTTTGCAAACAAAAATGGTGGTTGACTCTCTGTACTTCCTGTTAACATCCCTGTGACAAAGACACTCACTGCAGTCCCTGTACTGATGTTTCAGGACAACCTTTTCTACAACTTTGTCACTCTACCACCACTGCTGTAAACATCTTACTTGGCCGACAGATGTGCACCAACCGTGCGATGGTGGTATAGTGGTGAGCATAGCTGCCTTCCAAGCAGTTGACCCGGGTTCGATTCCCGGCCATCGCAGCTTGTTCTTTACAACCGCTTCCCTCCGAGACATTTTCACCTCATCAAGATGTGTACTTGCATTGATACTGCAGATCAATGCAAAACATGACAAGGGTGCCTAGTTGTTGTGGCCGAGTGGTTAAGGCGATGGACTAGAAATCCATTGGGGTCTCCCCTCACAGGTTCGAATCCTGTCAACAACGAGTGGCGGCTCACTCTCTGTGCTTTACCTTGATTCCCTCTCTACACCTTTGTCACGCTTCCTCCACTGCCGTCAACACTTACTCACTTGGCCGACAGATATGCACCAACCGTTAGATGGTGGTATAGTGGTGAGCATAGCTGCCTTCCAAGCAGTTGATCCGGGTTCGATTCCCGGCCATCGCAGCTTGTTCTTTACAACCGCTTCCCTCCGAGACCTTTTCACCTCATCAAGATGTGTACTTGCATTGATACTGCAGATCAATGCAAAACACGACAAGTGTGTGCGGTTGTTGTGGCCGAGTGGTTAAGGCGATGGACTAGAAATCCATTGGGGTCTCCCCTCACAGGTTCGAATCCTGTCAACGAGTGGTGGCTCACTCTCTGTGCTTTACCTTGGTTCCCTCTCTACAACTTTGTCACGCTTCCTCCACTGCCGTCAACACTTACTCACTGGGACGACAGATGTGCACCAACCGTGCGATGGTGGTATAGTGGTGAGCATAGCTGCCTTCCAAGCAGTTGACCCGGGTTCGATTCCCGGCCATCGCAGTTTGTTCTTTACAACCGCTTCCCTCCGAGACCTTTTCACCTCATCAAGATGTGTACTTGCATTGATACTGCAGATCAATGCAAAACATGACAAGTGTGCCTAGTTGTTGTGGCCGAGTGGTTAAGGCGATGGACTAGAAATCCATTGGGGTCTCCCCTCACAGGTTCGAATCCTGTCAACAACGAGTGGTGGCTCACTCTCTGTGCTTTAACATGGTTCCCTCTCTACAACTTTGTCACGCTTCCTCCACTGCCGTCAACACTTACTCACTTGGCCAACAGATGTGCACCAACCGTGCGATGGTGGTATAGTGGTGAGCATAGCTGCCTTCCAAGCAGTTGACCCGGGTTCGATTCCCGGCCATCGCAGCTTGTTCTTTATAACTGCTTCCCTCCCAGACCTTTTCACCTCATCGAGATGGGTAAATGTTTGATAATGTAGATCAACACGATGAAGAAGGTTTGTGTGGAGTTGTTGTGGCCGAGTGGTTAAGGCGATGGACTTGAAATCCATTGGGGTCTCCCCTCACAGGTTCGAATCCTGTCAACAACGACGCTGACAGCTGTGATGTTTGCAAACAAAAATGGTGGTTGACTCTCTGTACTTCCTGTTAACATCCCTGTGACAAAGACACTCACTGCAGTCCCTGTACTGATGTTTCAGGACAACCTTTTCTACAACTTTGTCACTCTACCACCACTGCTGTAAACATCTTACTTGGCTGACAGATGTGCACCAACCGTGCGATGGTGGTATAGTGGTGAGCATAGCTGCCTTCCAAGCAGTTGACCCGGGTTCGATTCCCGGCCATCGCAGCTTGTTCTTTACAACCGCTTCCCTCCGAGACATTTTCACCTCATCAAGATGTGTACTTGCATTGATACTGCAGATCAATGCAAAACATGACAAGTGTGCCTAGTTGTTGTGGCCGAGTGGTTAAGGCGATGGACTAGAAATCCATTGGGGTCTCCCCTCACAGGTTCGAATCCTGTCAACAACGAGTGGTGGCTCACTCTCTGTGCTTTACCTTGGTTCCCTCTCTACACCTTTGTCACGCTTTCTCCACTGCCATCAACACTGACTCACTTGGCCAACAGATGTGCACCAACCGTGCGATGGTGGTATAGTGGTGAGCATAGCTGCCTTCCAAGCAGTTGACCCGGGTTCGATTCCCAGCCATCGCAGCTTGTTCTTTACAACCGCTTCCCTCCAAGACATTTTCACCTCATCAAGATGTGTACTTGCATTGATACTGCAGATCAATGCAAAACATGACAAGTGTGCCTAGTTGTTGTGGCCGAGTGGTTAAGGCGATGGACTAGAAATCCATTGGGGTCTCCCCTCACAGGTTCGAATCCTGTCAACAACGAGTGGTGGCTCACTCTCTGTGCTTTACCTTGGTTCCCTCTCTACAACTTTGTCACGCTTCCTCCACTGCCGTCAACACTTACTCACTTGGCCAACAGATGTGCACCAACCGTGCGATGGTGGTATAGTGGTGAGCATAGCTGCCTTCCAAGCAGTTGACACGGGTTCGATTCCCGGCCATCGCAGTTTGTTCTTTACAACCACTTCCCTCCGAGACCTTTTCACCTCATCAAGATGTGTACTTGCATTGATACTGCAGATCAATGCAAAACATGACAAGTGTGCGTAGTTGTTGTGGCCGAGTGGTTAAGGCGATGGACTAGAAATCCATTGGGGTCTCCCCTCACAGGTTCGAATCCTGTCAACAACGAGTGGTGGCTCACTCTCTGTGCTTTACCTTGGTTCCCTCTCTACACCTTTGTCACGCTTCCTCCACTGCCGTCAACACTTACTCACTGGGACGACAGATGTGCACCAACCGTGCGATGGTGGTATAGTGGTGAGCATAGCTGCCTTCCAAGCAGTTGACCCGGGTTCGATTCCCGGCCATCGCAGCTTGTTCTTTACAACCGCTTCCCTCCGAGACATTTTCACCTCATCAAGATGTGTACTTGCATTGATACTGCAGATCAATGCAAAACACGACAAGTGTGCCTAGTTGTTGTGGCCGAGTGGTTAAGGCGATGGACTAGAAATCCATTGGGGTCTCCCCTCACAGGTAGTGGTGAGCATAGCTGCCTTCCAAGCAGTTGACCCGGGTTCGATTCCCGGCCATCGCAGCTTGTTCTTTACAACTGCTTCCCTCTAAGACCTTTTCACCTCATCAAGATGGGTAAATGTTTGATAATGTAGATCAACATGACGCAGAAGGTTAGTCATGAGTCTGTCTGATTAGCTCTGTCTGTACAATCACTCATCATGTTAGGGGTTGTGGGTTTGATTCCCAAGTTGACAGACATCTCGTTCTGCAAGGAATTTGGAATTTGGGATCTGGTCACCCTAAGGTGGAGTCATGTACTGCCAAGATGGCAGCAACACAGCAGCTGCTCTGAGCTTCAGAACTACTCTTCAGAAACCTGTGGCTGCATCCCTTCGGTCCAAACTAAACTTTACTAACAGAACCTCTACAGTTCACCAATCAGCACATTACTACCTCACACTCCACATTTATTCTGCTAAGTCTCTTTTCAGTCTCATATCAGATGAAAGGGACAAAAAATGAGCAGCATAGACATCTAAATTTCAAACTTCAACACAAGCAGCTTCAAACTGTGCGTTCTCTCTGCAGGTTGGTAGTGTTCATTTATTTACTGTAGTCACCAGTGGGGGTACATGAAGACAGCAGGAATGAAGGCTGTGGGGGAGGAGGCAGATGGCAAATTGAGGATTATTACATCCTGTGCTGGAAAAAAAAAAGGAAGACGCACACAAAAGACAGCATATGCACCATCGAACAAGGAGACAAGATGGAGAGCTTAGAGCTATAAGAAACCATAAATCTTGAATTTCAACTGCAGAGATTTCAACTGCTAGTGCCTTGCCATCAGCCAAGAGAGGCCGTCAGGAGAAGCTCATCGTGTGCATCCCTGCTGCATTTCACCTTGAGGTTTTCTCTACACTTCTTGATTTAAAACAAAAATAGCATGGCATGTAGTTTTCCCTAAGATGGAGCCGAGAAAATTCAAAACATGTGACATGGGAGTAAGAAGTAAGGAGATGTTGCCAAAAGAAAGAAAACGAGAACGGTGCCAAACTTGACAAGGTACATTGCACCTCCTGCTCGCTGTTTGAATAGTTTAAGACAAAGCTGGGCTGAGCAGCTGCAGCGCTTCACTACCACCGAGTCAGTCAGGGCCGTCACCCAGCAGCTGTAAGGTCTATACAGCAACAATATGCTGACATTCAGACAGTCGCTGCTGCGTATTGTTTTTGAAACCAAAGATGTTTCCATTAAAACGTCAGCCCAGATTATGCAACTGTGGAGTTTTAGTTTTTACTTTTCCATCTTTAATTCAGTGTCAGAAGCAAAGAGCATTTGGTTCTGCCCTTACTGGCCTTAACAACAAGACTGACTGTGCTTTTTGTTATTTGATTTTCGTACCATTTCAGCCATACTTTGCTGCATCGTAGTGATGCTCTTGCTGCTCTTAATATAATTGTAGTCAGTGTCAAAATGGCAAAATATGCTGTGGCTTATTGAGAAACATCCATCACCTGATGATGTGTAATTGTTCATAATGTGGTTGATGATTCAGTGTGGATCAAAATTTCCACAGCAGACACCACCAGTGGGTCTTAATGGACATTTTTTAAAATTCAAATTGATTTCTATCAGACAAATTGAGCCCATTAAGCTGCATGTTAAATCAGGGATTAAGAAAACCCACATTCATTAGCAGCTTGTATGTGTTTCAGGCACAAAGTAACTGAAATGAGCCCTCTGCTGCAAAATTTTCTGTCGGAAACAAATTACATACAAAAGTGAACTAAAAGCACTTTTGTATGTGATGAACAATATAAACATGTGTGAGGTAAAGTGACACCTCATTGAGCCGTTAACAACACCAGGTTCACACTTTGTCATCCATGAAAACAGACACAAGCAGAAGAACAGATGGGTTATAAATGGTGTTTTCATCAATTGCTCCTAACACACACTCACACACACACACACACACACACACATATTGAACTGGACCCAACTGGAACCTACCTGAGGCTTCAGGTGTACCTGTACTCAGACCTGGCTCCATTGGAGCAGATGTGAACACAGCAATCGCGCTCAGATGCGGGAGAAAACAAGCGGGCCAACATCGCCGAGACGGGGTGGTGTCGGCTCGGCTCGGCTCGGCTCGGCTCGTCCCGGCTCGCTTCCATTCGAGCTCTGGAGCAGCTCGTTTGCAGTGAGAACGTCATCGACTTGGCAACCGACACAACACGCGACATGCTGCTGATGTTCCGTGGTTCTCAACGGGCCGAGCCGACACGGCCCGGCCCGACTGGACAGGTTGGTTCAGACCGGTCTCGGGCCGAGAAAAGCCTGGATGACTTGAGTCGGGCCGCGTCGGGGTTTTTTTTTTCCAGGCCCGGTGAGACCTCAGCCTATTCCATGGTTTTTGGTTTTCCCGGGTAACTTCCTTCTCCTTCGGGATAAGATTTCTGACCAATCAGAGAAGAGTTGGATCGCATGGCATTTGTTGTCAACGTTGGACGAGCCGAAAGGAAAATGAAACACTTTCATCCTCTGAATCGGAACAAAGCAAACCAGCCACATGTCTGAATACACCCTTAAAACAGGACCTTGGTTTCCTGCCATGGTAGATATCATAGCCATAATACCAGGATGTAAATATGTCTGTGTATAAGATAAACATAAGAAGTGCAGTTTTTACAAAAGCGTTGCCTTGGTTACTTGATTCAAGCAGAGAACTTAAGTCGCGTTTAAATGATGTGACTGACACTGACCCATTACATGACCTCTCCAGCATCATAACAATGTTTCACTAACACAGCTAAACCTATAGCAGCTGTGGCTGCAGTGAACGTCACATTGCACAAATCCAAACATGGGTGTTGTCACTGGAGGTGACTGGACCTTTTTAAGCCTCAGACCTAACGTACAATAATGACCAGGCCACATGTTCCTCCAACCTGCAACAGTTCAAGTCCAACACTGTGAGCACATAACAGCAGAGCCAGCCAACAATCCACAGGCTCCTTCCTGCAAAACAGACTGCACACCTGGTTGAACCCAAAATGAGAAACATATTATGACGATTTCACTTGTGGGTGACTTGCAGTATTACACAGAGATGGAGCCTGTGCAGCGGAGAGGTAGATCATACATCTTTATCTGCGTCCACTTACAAAAGGTTATCTTTCATATTGCTCAAATGTTAGCTGATAAATGTCCTGGTAACTCTCAATATTTCCACTGCGGGTGGCACATTTGTCATCGTTGAGATGGCGGGCAGAGTAGGGCACAGATGGGAACTCCTCCCTCACACTGGCGTTGACGTATGAGCTGTGGGTCGAAGCAGACGAGCACATGTGATTAATAACCCCCCCACCCTCATCCTCCCTGTGTGCCTGGATCTGAACCGGAGAGAGGCTGGACCTGTGAGCAAGCTCTGGGATTGTGATGAACTACAACCAAATTCACAGCAAAGTTAAACAAACATAAAATCTGGAGGAGTGCAATTAGTCTGAAAACATAACCTGAAACATTTCCACCCCCCACCCCACGCACACACACACACACACACCTGCCTGTTTCTATCAACCAGCGCAGTGAATCAATGGATTAAAGCCGCATGTAAACAGCTTCATAAAAGGTCAAAGATGATGTTCATGATGATGAAATACACAAAGGCACTTTCAGCTCACACGCTGCAATTAAAGGAAGGTTTAGATAATTGTTTAATTATGGTGATTTTCCCCTGCTGCGGTCAATCACATCCAATTACCCCATCACTGTTGGATGTGCAGATTACAGCCCCGTCAGATCAACTGGTGGCCACATCATCGCCATGATGATAAAACAGGACGATGTGACACGTGCATGTTGAGATTTCACTTCTCTGATTAGTGACAGCAGTGTGTGGAGATGGGTTTTAACAGAGGAAAGAGAGAGGAGGAGTGCAGAGGGAGGGTTTAAAACAAGCAGACAGTTGGTCGGTTAATTAAATCAGTTACAGGTTTTCATGGAGCAACAAGCTGTCTTCTAAATTAAAACTTCTCTTTTTACCTTCTGTGGGATCCGAACAGAACAAACCAGGCTGCACGACAAGACTCGTGACAGCGTTCCTGCTTATCACTTAATGAAATAGCTCAGGGCGGCATCATGGCTGCTCTCTGACATGTTTCATGGCACTAACATAATTCACATGCAGTTTTCATGGTGGGATGTAAATGCAGCAGCTCCATTGTGTTCATTCATTCAGTTTTCTTCCTGCATGGAATCAGATCAAACCCTCAAAAGCAGGTATACACTGAGATAAAAGTTTGCCATTTCCATTCCTACAGTATGTCAGAATATATTTCTTCCCTATAATTTTATAATCTAAGCAAAGTGTCATGGTTGCACCTACTGGATTCTCAAACAATGAAATGAAGCAGTGATGCTGCAGTTGCTACCATTCAATAGAGCAGGTTAGTGTCAGTTACAGGTTACAGTTCAGTCCTGCCAGTCTGTGGTCGCATACATCAGGTATGATATTAAAACAGGTGACTGGCTTTCACTGGTGTAAATGTCCATGGCCTTATCACTCGGCCACTCTAAATAATCAGTGATTTCGAAACTATTATTTGTAGTTTCTGTTATTTTTCACATTTTTTAATGGCTCCTCATAGTCAAAAAGTACATTAAACCCAGTGACCTGTTTAAATGTCACAGCTGATCCATTTGGCTTAAGGTCAATCCAGTTTGGTCAGAAAACAAAAATGTGCTTGATTAGTTTAGGAAAGCACAACCTACTGGTTCATCTGAGGCTGAGACACACACACACACAGCTCTGGGACAGATTCACATTTCCATTCTAAGGACCTGGTGCATCATGTAAAGAATGAGTTGCTGCTTTTACATCTGTCGTCAAACCTCCAAAGTGGCGTGAAAGTGAATCAAACCACAAAACATCTGGGCAGCTGCTCTCCACAGTAATTCAGTGTTTCTTCTCTCCCTTCTTCACAAGTCTTCATCACAAACTTTAATTTAGCTCTGACTGACACGCAGCTCGTGCACTTCCGGTGCTGCTCTCACCTAAAGAGCACAAAAACCAAT